CTTTGAACGTGGCATGGTTTATGGTGCCAGGCGGGCTTGTCTTAGTATTTCAAAAACTGCTGATCTACTGGGATTTTCATTCTCCACCATCTCTAGAGTTTACATAGAATGGTCCAAAATAGAGAAAATATCCAGTGAGTGGCAGTTGTGTGGAGGAAAATACCTTGTTGATGTCGAGGTCAGAGGAAAATGCACAGACTGGTTCAAGATGATAGAAAGGCAACAGTATCTCATGTTGATATGGACTGAAATCTCTGAGGAACATTTCCAACACCTTGTTGAATCCATGCCACGAAAAATGAAGGCAGTTCTGAAGGCAAAAGGGGGTCCAACCCGATACTAGCAAGGTGGACCTCATAAAGTGTCCGGTGTGTGTAGCTGTGGTTAGCGATCTATGTATAGCTCTCCGAACCTGGGCCTTCTGCGGTCAGTTATTGACCCTTGGCTTGTTCTTGACTACACTTCTGCCTGATCCCAACCTTCGACTGCTCCTTACCGACCTTGGCTTGTTTACTGACCAGGCTTCCGTTTGATCCTTACTTGCTTATATGCTACTGGACCTCCGATTGCTCACCTCCTGGTGGGGTGATCCTGAGGACCACGACCTGGTACTAACATGCAGTCAAATCCATCTCCACCATCAGGAGGTCTGGCGAACACCGGTTGGTACTTAGACTCCACACCTTGGGTGATCGCATTCCTCCACCACGGTGACCTGCCTATGTACCTATCCTGCTGGTTTCAGGCGAGCCTTTCCACTGCTATAGCAACTGGTCTTTGAGCCTTCTCGGCCTTTTGGCTAAGATCAAGTGTAGTATCTGTTCTTATCAGTGTCCAGTGGGGGTGCTCCCGGCCATTCTAGCTTTGCGGGGATGGCTGTTGTATAGTACCCTCACTGGTATGATGGGGGTCTGGAAGGCTAGTACCGGGGGGACAGAAAGCGTGGTGCCTACGAGTAGAAGCTGGGGCCCGTGAGTAATTCCCCCGAGAAGACCGGAAGGACCCAGTACCTCCTGATTTGGACGGATCTGCCATGTCTGTCCAGGGGTCGGGAAGGCAGAAAGTCCGCAAACCAGTGCCCCCTGAGTAGACGCCCTCAGGGGTGCCACTAGTAACACCTGGGTGTGGGACCCCACAGTGTGAAGATGGCACAAGGTCACTGTTTTTCACTCTTTTTGCACAAGCGCCCTTAGGACCAGGCCTTTTGGCTAGGACCAGGGCAATTTTTGCTACAGGCCTCAGGGTCTGGTCTGTGCACAATTTTGCACGGCCACTTTTTTATTTTCTATTTATTTAATTTATTATCACTCCCACGTTTTGTCACTTTTTCTTACTTTTGTGTGTGTTTTTTCACAGGATGGAGGGTGTGGGTCCTCGGGCCTGCCCTGAAGTCTAGGGGGAGGATGTGTGGCCTTTTGGTTCCTTCCTCCCCTGATCCCTAGGGGGTTTTCTCTTCGGGAGAGCCCCCTGACCAAGTACTGGGTGTCCGGCTTCGGCTGGACACAAGGAACGGTGGTCCACCAGGCCTTTTGGCCAGGAGGACCAAATGGGAACCTTGTCCCTGTCAGGAGCTTCATGCCCCGGGGGATCAGGGTAGCGGTCCAGCCACTTTAGGGGTAGGACAAAAGCACACCCCTAAGTGCACTTTTTTGTGTGGTGTTTTGCACTTGCACTTTTTTTGTGAACACTTACGGGTTTTTTCGTTATAGTTGCACGTTTGCGGACTTAAAAAAAAAAAAAAAAAAAACTGGTCTTTGAGCCTGACCCCCAATCGGGACAATAGCATAATGGACTTGGAGAACATTTCAGACAGATCTACCTGTATTTATGGCACGTTGCTATCTGGTATTATAATATATTTTATGTGAAACGTTTTACTGTTTGTCGATTTGGCTTATTTTTGAGCTGGTTGATAAGCTGCAAGGCCTCAGTCAACCCCCGAGGTTGACTAAGCCCAGGGTCTCGTCAACCAAATTTCCATAGTTCCCCGAAACAATAGAGACCTGGTAGCATGTAGCTCCATCGCGTTGAATGTCACTTCAACCCTGTCAAGTAAGAGACGAGTACAATCCGAGAGGCACGCAGGTTTTCACTTTTTTATTCCCATCGCACGGGCCAAACTCTTAACAGACCACTGACTTGCTACTCGCAATAGAAGTTGCTTTTCCCTAAAGATTGCAGTCATAAATCTAGACCAGTTTCAACATAAAGAAAAATAAAGTTGAGCTTCAAAGAAACTCGTGACCTCGGTGACCTGCTTACGGAAAAAGAAAGGGGACCAAGAAGAAAGGGTTTTTTTTTTTTTTTGTCCTCATCACATGAAAAAGGGGGGAGTCACTCTATCAAAAGCGCCTCTTTCCAGTGCGGAGGAACGGGCTTTGTAGGGGGGGATCTTTGACTTATTGTTCAGCTTCTGGTCTCCCGCTGTCCCCTTCCATCTTTACTAGCAAGGTGAGGGGATCACAAAGAATACATTGTAGTCTGCAAACTGAACGAGGGTCAAGGACTCTCTGGGAGGGATCGCTGTTAGGGTAGCTTGCATTTTCATTACGTATTTAGAAATGCTCCAGGCCTTTGTTTCATTATGGACAAAGCAAGTACTAGTACAAGCTGGCCTGATATTGAAGGCAGGGCCCGTGGATAAGGGGGTACCACCAGTCCACCTGTACGGGGCCCAGGGCAGCAGGGTGAATCGGATGTGGGCAGGTGGGGGGAACAATTACTGGCTCTTTCTGCAGCATCTGAAAGCTGGATTCTTCTCTCGCCCCCGCCACCACACCGTTCACCCTCCCTGTGCACATCTGATTCACCCAGCTGCTTGGGCCCCCACAGTGCCGGCTTCCTCCGCTCCTTCCCACCAGCAGCTGCAAGCACACAATAGGATCAGGATGGAGAGTGGGGGAAGGGTCCAGTAAATATGTCACATTTACCAGCCCCTTCTTTTCCTGAATGAGCACAAAGAGTGATCGCTACCGATCAGGGGCGGACTGACAAATCATGGGGCCCCCAGACAATAGCGGATCATGGGGCCCCTGTGTCCTCGCCCACACTCAAACCACACCCAAAAAAGCCTATGAAAGGTACTGTCAAGGTCCTACCTTTTCCCAGAGGTTATGTTACTCCATGTGCTAGCATCCATCTTGGATTTCTGCTGAGCATGATGGGAATCTTTTATGCCTTCAGGTCTCTGAGGTCCATCCCCCAGAGGGGTGTGGCTGAGTACATATAAGCCTGGGATCTGCACATGCTCTTTGCACTTGTGTCTTGTGTCTTTGTCTTGCTACAGCTCTGTGTATATGCTCGTGACTCTTCTGGTATTCTGACTCGGCTTGTGACTAAGACCATTCTCTGCGTTTCCCTTTGATCTGACCTTCTGTTGCTGAACCCGGCCCGTGACCTGTGATTCTCTGTCTACTGTTCTGTACTGTTTTGTCCCGTTGTTATTGACCTGGCTTGTCTGACTACGCTATTGTCATTCTCACCAACTACACGCCATTGGCGGCGGCCATTACCGCAGCTGGGGTGTCTCGGGGGCCGCGACCTGGTCCCTGGTTGCGTCAAGTCCATCCCCACCATCAGGGGCCCTGGTGAAGGGCAGCCTGGGACTTAGACTCCGCGCCCTGAGGGACTTCAGTCTGTTGGTGGTGGTTGTCGTCAGCCAGTGCGTTACCCTGCCACTAGGCCTACCTGTCCGTTCCACAGCCCTGCCCTGACAGGTACCAGGGGCATCTCATGGGGCCCCCTACTGACCCTGGGCCCTCGGGCAGTGCCTGAGTTCCCAAATGGTCAGTCCACCCCCTGCTACCGATCACCCACAGTGTTCATTATCCCCTTGACGCCGACAGCACACAATATGCAGCCTCACAGAACTGGGCTTTTTTCCGTGGGGCCGCATATTTGCGTACCTGTATTTGTGCTGGGAACGCGCCGCTCGGCGCATTCCCAGCACAGAGACCGCGGTGTCACTGAGAACTAACGACTGGGACCCGGGACTCCCGATTCCGGGTCACATGATCGCTGTGATGGGCCCCCTTGTTTTTTCTCTCTCTATGAATGGAGAAGAGAGATACATTGTATCTCTCCAACTCCTGGCATAGAGAGAAAAAAAAATGTTTTTTTAAAAAAAAGAAAAAGGTAGATAAATATTAAAAAATAAAATAAAAAATAAAGAAAAAAAATTCCTAGATCAAGGTTTGATTTAGTTCAGTGCCAGGGTTAGTGGTTGGGTCAAGGCCAGGGTCAAAGGTCAGTATTAAAAAAAATTGGTGTCAGTTAGTGTTGATGTCAGTGTCGGTGTCGGTGTGTTTTTAGGTAAAAAAAAAAAAAAGACTAAAAAAAATGCTCCCTATTGTTTCAGGGGCTGTACTACGCATACAAACAACAAATAACATCCACATAGATGGTATCGCTGCGATCGACAAGAGCTGGAGAATTTATTTTGGGTTGTTTTTTGGTGGTAGGTTATGGTCGTAACAAGAAACACACAGCTAAATAAAAAAAAAATGATTTATTTTTTACTATTTTGGGCCAGTTTTCCTTTGATAATAAAAAAAAAATCAGGAGCTATCTATTACCATTTACCACCAAATGAAAGACCAATTTGTCCTGAAAAAAAAACGCGGTATAATCCACCTGGATGTGCAAAGTAGTTGTGATGATATGTTCGGTTTTACTAACACATGTCAATGTTGCAAAATTGTGCTTAGGCTTAAACGAGATTCAAATCGTGAGCAACATGTGAATCGTGAAATCACTCCGTGTACACCTTAAATTAATAAATAAATGTGAGCAATCCGTGTATACTCAAAAATATAAATAAAAAATAAACAAAAAAAATAATCAAAAATAAAATAAATAAATCAAATCAAATATTTTGAATATTTAAAATAATATAAAAATTGTTTTTTTTTTTGTTTTTGTTTATTTTTTATTAATATTTTTGAGTATACACGGATTGCTCAGAGAGTGATATAGTGAATGCAGGGTCCGGGGAGAGCGGATATAGTGAATGCAGGGTCCAGGGAGACCAGATATAGTGAATGCAGGGTCCGGGGAGAGCGGATATAGTGAATGCGGGGTCCGGGGAGACCAGATATAGTGAATGCAGGGTCTGGGGAGACCAGATATAGTGAATGCAGGGTCCGGGGAGAGCGGATATAGTGAATGCGGGGTCCAGGGAGAGTGGATATAGTGAATTCAGGGTCCAGGAAAAACAGATATAGTGAATGCAGGGTCCGGGGAGACCGGATATAGTGAATGCGGGGTCCGGGGAGAGCAGATATAGTGAATGCGGGGTCCGGGGAGAGCAGATATAGTGAATGCGGGGTCCTGGGAGACCAGATATAGTGAATGCAGGGTCCGGTGAGACCAGATATAGTGAATGCAGGGTCCGGGGACAGCGGATATAGTGAATGCAGGGTCCGGGGAGAGCGGATATAGTGAATGCAGGGTCCGGGGAGAGCAGATATATTGAATGCAGGGTCCGTGGAGACCAGATATAGTGAATGCAGGGTCTGGGGAGAGCGGATATAGTGAATGCGGGGTCCGGGGAGAGCGGACATAGTGAATGCAGGGTCCGGGGAGAGCGGATATAGTGAATGCAGTGTCCGGGGAGAGCGGATATAGTGAATGCAGGGTCCGGGGAGAGCGGATATAGTGAATGCAGGGTCCGGGGAGAGCAGATATAGTGAATGCGGGGTCCGGGGAGAGCGGATATAGTGAATGCGGGGTCCAGGGAGTGCGGATATAGTGAATGCAGGGTCCGTGGAATGAGACCAGATATAGTGAATGCGGGTGCGGGGAGTGCGGATATAGTGAATGCAGGGTCCGGGGAGAGCGATATAGTGAATGCGGGGTCCGGGGAGAGCGGATATAGTGAATGCAGGGTCTGGGGAGAGCGGATATAGTGAATGCAGGGTCCGGGGAGAGCGGATATAGTGAATGCAGGGTCCGGGGAGAGCGGATATAGTGAATGCAGGGTCCAGGGTTTAGTAACACTTTAATGGGTGGATGTCAGTCTGGAAGAGTAGGCATTTGCATGCAAAGCACCATAGGTAATGCTCACAAGAACTGGAAAAAAGAACTGAAATCCAATGAATGAAAGGGTGGGCCAGGGATAGTCAGCAGACGATGCTGGACAATCTCCATCCAGAAAATGCGGCGAACCCAGTTTGACCTGCTGCACCTAATGCATACTATAAGAAGCTCACAGTGTGCAGTGAAATCACAATGCAGGAGAGGAGCCGGTAAAATTGTGCAAGAATGATGGGAAGGCTGGGAGTCATATTTAAGGAATATAGGTGTCTTTTATATCTGTGTGATACAATTACATTGGTGAGGGGCCCATATACTGAAAACAGCCCGGGCCAATAGTGCAAATAAGTCAGAACCCCAGAAAAACTGATTAAAAACATATTTTGGCGTTTCTGTCTACTGAAAGGCAACTTTCCAGCTTCGGGGGGAACATTCTGCCTGGCTCCTGGAGGGTAAGAAAAGCCTTTTGAATGATCAATTCCTGTGTGTACATCGATTTTTTTTTTTCTCCCACAGTCCCCCTCCTTATCGTTCTTTTCCTGCCCATATCATTCTAATTGATTCCTGATTACAGACTACATTGGTTACAGAATGTTATTTGTCAGGCAGAGGAGATATTCCTGCTTCTCTGTGCTGAAAGCCCATTCACTACAGATGATGCGGCCACCGGGGCAGACCACTAATGGGGTGAATGACACCTACCCCTTGTGTTACTTCAATTTAAAAAAAAAAGTCACCATTGTGATGGCAGCACATTTCATATAAAAATAATATTATAATAATAATATAATAATAATATTTGTTTTTTATATATATATATATATATATATATATATATATTTATTATTATTATTATTTTTTTTTTTTTATATAAATTTTTTTTTCTTTATATATATATATTTTATATATATATATATTTATATTATATATATATTTTTTTTTTTTTCCCTCCAATATATATTAAATAATAATTTAATAATAATGTATCTAACAAACTATCGCAAAACATTGAATAGCAAATATCGGTATATCCGCAAAATTATATATATAACACCCTAGACCAGGGGTGGGCAAACTGCGGCTCTCCAGCTGTTGCAGGACTACAAGTTCCATCATGCCTCTGCAAGTCATAGCTGTAACTGTCAGTTTTGTAATGTTGCAATGCCTCATGGGAAATATAGTTCCACAACAGCTGGAGAGCCGCAGTTTGCCCACCCCTGCCCTAGACGCACAAAAAGTCACACTTTCTCCCCCTGAAATTCCAGTTCAAATAACACCTTCTTAGCGTCTGTGAATCTTCGAAATATTATTCAGAATTCATACTTCGTACTAATTCATACTTTGGAGATGGGTCAAGTGTAAGTATGAATTCTGAATAATATTTGAAGATTCACAGACGCTAAGAAGGTTTTATAGCAAAACATTCTTTTTTTTTTTCTCCTTGAAACTAGTATTCGTTAAATAAATAGAAATTGTTTATTTTTATTTCTAATGAGTATTATCATATATACTGTGGATATATATTATCAGTATATATAAATATATATACCCATATATATGCATTATATATATTTTTTTCCAATATATAAAACAAATTATGTAAGAAGTAATTTAATAATAATGTATTTAATACAATATATCAAAACAATAATTTGTGTTCTCCATGACACTAGTATTCATTAAATAAATACATGGGAATTGTATATTTTGTATAATGAATATTTTATATATATATATATATATATATATATATATATATATATATATATATATATATATTATTTATTTATTTTTTTCCCCAATATGTTTAATAATGATTGATTGGCCTTTCACCTCATTAAGTGATCCATAGGACACAGCGATCATGGAGAGCGCCAGGTTTGCGTCGCTGGGGGTGCGCGAGAGGGCGCGTTCTGGGAGGACATCATATGATGCCCTCCCAGAACTGGACAACCGCGCTGTAGCCGTCATTCGGTTAAAGCTAAAGGTTAAAGCAGAGGCCCTAGAGAATAAATTGATGGCTTTTGCTATTTTTTTTATATCAAAATTATGGGAAAAAATACACTGAATTTTAATGGAAAAAAAACACAATACATAACCTAACATGTCACGCTTTAAAATTGCGCACTCCCATACAACGGTGACAAACACATATTCATAGGCTCGCTTACAAGCTACCACTTTAGATTTAGAGAGTAGGTCTGGTGCTAGAATCACTGCCCGTGATCTGATGGTTGCAGGTATGCCTCACAGGTGCGGGACAAACAAGTGTGTTTGCTTTTGTGTGCAAGCACGTGGGGGGGGGCACTTTTTTTTTTTTTTTAACATTGCCACTTAAAAAAATGTTTTTTGATCACTTTATTGCTGTCCCAAGGACTGTAAACCTCCCTTCTAACAGCAATAGACATGTAACAGCAGGGGCGGACTGACCATTTGGAAACTCGGGCACTGCCCGAGGGCCCGGGGTCAGTAGGGGGCCCCATGAGATGCCCCTGGTACCTTTTTCATAGGCTTTTTTGAGTTTGGGCAAGGACACAGGGGCCCCATGATCCCCTATTGCCCAGGGGGCCCCATGAGTTATCAGTCTGCCCCTGTGTGACAGGTACTCTTTATGGAGGGATCTGGGGGGGGTCAATAAGACTCCAATTCCCTCTTCTGACCTTAAACGTATTTAAGCACACCAAGATCAACGTGATTAAATGCTTTCCTTTTTTAAAAATGGCGCCGTTTATTTCTGAGTAAACCAGAAGTGATGTCAGGTCATGGCTTCCAGGTTACTAAAGCATAGAGCCATATAATGCCCATTAGATCTTTGTTCGGCTCTGTGACCGGCCAGCGGTGGAGTAGGTCTCCCGGTGGGAAAGGAGATCCCGGTAAATCTGCAGGAGTCAGAGTGGTGAGGGGGCATCCTCTCCCACTGCTTGTAATACCAATCGAGCAGTTAGTTATCCGCTCCAAATGCCATCACAAGACAGCCGACCACCGCCTCTAAAAACCGGTACCAGGACGATTCCTGCAGGTATCATCCCGGTACAACCACTGGAAGTCCACCGGTGATTGGTCTGCACCTAGTACAGTCATTTATTGGGCTGATTGTGTTGGTTGGGTACCTAGGCTAACTTACAAACTGGACTTACGAATGGAATTTCTCATATGTAGGGGACGTACTGTGTGTATATATATATATTTCTTATTATTATTAATAATAATAATGTATTTTTATTTTTTAATTTATTTATTTATATTATTTTTTACATTTTAGTATTTTAGGTTTTTTTTTGATGGGGGGGGTGTTAGGTTTTTTATTGCTTTATTTTTTTTTTAATGAATACAGTATTTGTTCATAATTTTTGTGTGTTTATATATATATATATATAGTGCAAAATGAAAACGTTCTGGAGAGTTGGATGTCTCACCTCAGTCACCCTGCCTGTATTGGTTGGGTACCTAGCAGGGGCGGACTGACCATTTGGAAACTCGGGCACTGCCCGAGGGCCGGGGTCAGTAGGGGGCCCCATGAGATGCGCCTGGTACCTTTTTCATAGGCTTTTATGAGTTTGGGCAAGGACACAGGGGCCCCATGATCCCCTATTGCCCGGGGGCCCCATGAGTTGTCAGTCCGCCCCTGGTACCTAGGCTAACTTACAAACAAACTGGACTTACTAATGGAATTACTCATATGTAGGGGACTTACTGTGAGTGTGTATATATATATATATATATATATATATATATATAGATATATTTAGATATACTGTGTATATCTATATATATATATATATATATATATATATATATATATATATATATACAATATATATACATATATATATATCTTAGATTGGAAGCTCCAAGGAGCAGGGCCCTCCTAACCCTCTTGTATTGAATTGTATTGTAGCTCCATTGTAAAGCACTGAGCAAACTGTATAAATGCTGAATATATATATATATATATATATATATATATATATATATATGTGTGTGTGTGTATACAGTGGGGCAAAAAAAAGTATTTAGTCAGCCACCGATTGTGCAAGTACTCCCACTTAAAGAGATGAGAGAGGCCTGTAATTGGCATCATAGGTGGACCTCAACTATGAGAGACAAAATGAGAAAAAAAATCCAGACAATTTATGGTGGAAAATAAGTATTTGGTCACCTACAAACAAGCAAGATTTCTGTCTCTCACAGACCTGTACCTTCTTCTTTAAGAGGCTCCTCTGTCCTGCACTCATTACCTGTATCAATGGCACCTGTTTGAACTTGTTATCAGTATAAAAGACACCTGTCCACAACCTCAAACAGTCACACTCCAAACTCCACTATGGTGAAGACCAAAGAGCTGTCGAAGGACACCAGAAACAAAATTGTAGACCTGCACCAGGCTGGGAAGACTGAATCTGCAATAGGCAAGCAGTGTGGTGTGAACAAATCAACTGTGGGAGCAATAATTAGAAAATGGAAGACATACAAGACCACTGATAATCTCCCTCGATCTGGGGCTCCACGCAAGATCTCACCCCGTGGGGTCAAAATGATCACAAGAACGGTGAGCAACAATCCCAGGACCACACGGG